CAAGTTGAACTGAAAATTTATTCATTCAATGGAAATTTCTGAAGAAATAACTACCTATTTACCACTCTTTTCTCCTTTTTCAACAATTACTGCTCTCAAACAAGTTCAACTTTCCTTTACAGTTCCCGAGTTTTTTTTCCCCATAACCTTTCTTCTTAATGACGAAAGTTTACACAAAAATGTTTAGTTATTTTTTTTAAATAGACCAAAAATATTTATATCACCAATGTTTTTTTATTTTTCAATTCTATTTTCTATTTCAATTTTTGATATATCCTTATTATTTTATTATAATTTATTGTTAAATAAATATTATTTATACAGTAAAACATAATTTAAAAAAAATGAATCATTGAACTTAAAAAATTAATAATTTAGTAATTTTTTATTGAACATGAAACTTCCCCCTTGGAATTCTAAGATTTCCAGGTGAGTAAACACCCCTCTTGATATATAAATATATTCTCTATGAGCAAATGAATATATAAAATAACTTCAAGAAAATAAAATATGTATAAACATTCGTTATTAAATTTTTAACATCAAGTTCTGGGATTAAAAAAAAATGTATAAAATACACAAGAAACGAGAGTGAATTTAAATAATTTCAATGCACTAATTAAAAGATTTTCGTTTCACATTCCATTTTCGAGTTTTTTTTTTAATATTCTTACTTTTTACTGTTTTATTATTTTTACTATCTAAAAAAAAAAAGTTGAGAAAATAAATATTATTATTTAGAAAATTCAAGAAAATATCCTTTTGAAGTTGAAAAGAAATCAAAAAACAATATTCGATTATTAAATAACTTTAAAATTCAAATGAAAATAATTTAAACATACGCTTTGGAAACAGAATTAAAAATATTTATTATACGAGAAAAAAAAATAATACTAAATAATAATAATTAATATTAAATCAAAGCGAATAGAAATTCTAAGGCCAAAATTTTTTTAAATTCTCTTTTGTTTTTGTTAATTTTTTATTTTCATTAAATAAATAATTCTCATAAATACTGAAACAAAGCGAATAGAAATTTGAAGGCGTAAATTTTTAAAATTCATTTTTAATTTTTGTAAATTAAAATTCTCGTTAATAAATAATTTTTATAAATTCTCGTTAATAAACAATTTTCAATAAATAGTATCAAAGCAAATTCCAAAGCCTAAATCAAAAAAATTCTTTTTTTAAAATTAAAATTGTCGTTAATAAATAATTATCACAAAAATCGAAATGAAATAAAAAATTCAATCAAAAGGTAAATGAAAAAAATTCCCGATTAAAGAAACAAAGAGATTGAAAGACAAGAGAATATTTTCCTATATGTATAAGAGATATTTGATGAGAGATGCAACTTAAAGAAGATAAGTAGAAAGAGAATGGATGAGAGAAGAAGAAGAAGAAGAAGAATGTAAAAAAAAGTGGTATCACCTCGGAACTTCTTACAACTCGATATATGTGAATGCAGCTTAAAGAAGGCAGCATGGAGGAGCCGACCGCGAAACATGCGGACAACGCGCCGGCTGCTGAAGCAACAAACGTTTGTGTGTGTATATTGTAACATTCACACAAACACACACGAAAAATAGGGGGACTAACACCGACACTTCTTCATCACATATATATATATATATAAAAGCAGGGGGCTCCGCAAAAGACTGGCTTCGCTTTTCTTGGAAGATGATAAAATGACCCCCTTTAAAAATCCAACTCAAAGAAGAAGAAGAAGAAGAAGAAGAAGCCTCGATTTTCCCCTTGGTTTGGAGACTTGAGGACGGAAGCTGCACCTATCGTCGCCGTTACAACCTCACGGAAGGACAACGTTCACTTTGCATCAGAACTTCGTTCGCAACACTACCTTTATTGCCACAAAAGGTTTAAAGCCCATTGTCTTTATTTTTCTTTTCGTCCAGACCGCCGGGTCAATGCTCCAGGGCTGAAGGACGAAGTCGATGCCGATCGAGACTCGTGTGTTGCCGATTCTAAAAACCCTTTCTTCAATTCTCTAGATTAATTATTTTTCTCTTTTTTGCCTTATTTCTTTTTCTAGTCTTTTTTATACTATTTTCTTAATTTATTTTCAATTTTCTAATACTTTCTTTTTTTTCCCAATTTTCCAGATCCTTCTCGATTATTTTAATTTTTTTTTTCAATTTTCGCTTAAAAAATACTTCGATTTTTCTATTTTTATTCATTTATTTCTATATCACTATTCTTTCCAGAATTTTTGTTTGTTTTCTTGACTCTTGAATTATTCTTCTCCAGATTCAATAATTCTTTTTTCCAGATCGAAGAATTCTAATAATAATCATAATAATAATTTTTCACTAAATTCATTCACAGAACCATCGTAATTGACTATTCCAAATATAATTTGGATATTTTAAATTATTTTCTCATTCTTAAAGAATAAAATTCAGTCTTGCCTTCGAAGGGTGCGTAATAATATTTTTGAAAAAAAAAACATAGTTTTGAAAATTGCCTTTGGAGTTGTTGTCATCATCGGCTGCGATTCATTTGAATTAAAATCGAAAGGTGAGGTATTTGAGAATGTTGTCTCTCTCTCTCTCTCTCTCAATCAAGGGGAGAAAGGAATATAATATGACGCATTCCAAAAAGTAATCGTTTAAACACGTGCTTTAAAGATCTTCCAAGTCACTCACAAATTGTCATTCCTCTCGTTTCAATTAGCACTGGAAAATAAAAATGAAAGTAAAAAACAAAAAAAAAAAAAGAAAAACAAAACAAAAATAAATTAAAAACACTCGTGTGCATTAAACTCGTGTGCAATCGCGAACGAACAGCTATAGACAGACCTACCGCTTTGCCAAGACTCTTGCTGGAGGTTGCTCCGCGCTAGTCGATCTTCTTGAGAGGCGCCCAAAGGAGGTAGAGGTGGAGAAAGAGGAGAAGAAGAGGGAGACAGAACTGACGTCAAATGTCTGGGTGTCTCACTTTAATCTTATATCTTCCGAGGGTGAATCCGTTTTTTTAATTCACAAAAAAAAAAAAAGAGACATGACAAGGGGTTGAAAACAGCAACATAACCTGGGGAAGAGTAAAAATTTTTACGTTAATAAAGCTAGGTTGTTGAATATGTCTGAAAGATTTATCAGGGTGAAGCTATAAGAATGGGAAGCACTATATATATAAAGGGGGGGGGGTTACAATGGTGTGTAAAGACCACCTGGATACTATTTCCAATATTATATTACTATACACATTCGCCATCAAGACGTAAAATATAAAACCGAATTTTATTTTCCTACGTAATTTATTAAAAATTTTTTTTTTACCTTTTTTGGATTGAACATTGTCATCGTAATTCTCAAGAAATATTATGTTTTCTTTTTTTTTTTAGCATTATTGACGACCTCAATCCATACAAGTATATAATATTCGATTTTTTATTCTTTAATAGGACTTACATGCAGGTGTTGTTTTAGTTTATAACTTTGTAAGGTCGACATATTTATTTATAGAAGATATTTTATTTATTGTGATTTACGAGAAAGAAACGTATTTTTTTAGTGCATCTTTGTAATAATATTTTAATAATTATTATCAATCCTCGAAATTTTTTTTTTCTATTTTGAATTTAAAACAAAAAAAATTTATTAAATTAATATTAATAATTAATTAATTTAAGTATTTAAAAAAATTTATTCAAATTATTTAATAATATTATTTATTTCTTTGTAGTAACCTTTCGGTTTTGGACGAACTTCCGGTTTTTACATTCTTTACATTTAAATTATTTAATATAAAAAAATCTTCAATACACAATGTTTTGAAATTAAAACGAATTTCTAAGTCTGATGATCCAAAAAACTATTTCTTTAGAAAAAAAAGTAAAGTTAAACATTTAGTTTAAATGATTTACTTACTAAATTTTAGAATGATTTTCAATGATTTAGAATTAGAATACTTATATTATTAAATAAAACAATAATAATAATAAATTATTAAACAAAAAAAATTATTGAATCATGAAAAACAATTGACAAATAAACAAAATTTAAATAAATAATATGATAATAAATAGTAAATGGGTTTAAAAAAATTGTGTTTATATTTACAAAAACTAAATGGAAGAAAAGAAGAAAAATACGAATTACTTTTCGGTAAATAGAGAATAAAATAACAAATCAAGAAAAAAGAATTTAAAAATTATTATTTTGGAAAAAAAACTATTTAGTTTTAACTAACTATTTAGTTTTAACTAACTATTTAGTTAAATTAGTTTAAAAATTCTATTTAAAGTAGCTTTACTTTTTTTTTATAATACAAAAATAAAAAATTAGACAAAAATAAAAATTTGCACAAAGAAAAATTGTTTAAATTGTGCGCCAAATTTCAAGATAGTCGTCAGATGGCACCAGTTTTCAGCAACAGATTTGCTTTCATTTAAATAAAACATTTTAAATTTCATATTCATTTAAAAAAAATATATATATATGTATACTTACAAAATATTCAGAAAACTAGATTTTTCAATTTACATATGAATGTGTGTGTGTGTGTCCATTGGTTTGGAATGTCTTAGTTTTAGACCAAGGTCCATAAAAAAAAGATTCTTCTTTTCTAAAGATTCAATGTGCCATCTGCTTCACAGGGACGAACTCAGTTTCCTGAAAAATTGAATAACAAAAAAATTAGTAACTTTAAAAATAATTTTTAACATAATTTTTTTTAATTTTATATCATCTTTTCATTATATTTCTTCTAGTTTTAATTTTTTTAATTCCAATTTTTCCATTTAAAAAACAAATTCAAAGATTACAAAATCAAATTTGTTAATAAAAAACGAAAAAAATGTTTATTTTGCAATTTTTTTCTAATATTTATTCCCGTATATTTAAATAAAAAATATATATAAATAAAAAAAAAAATAATTGCTGATTTGTAAATTTTATTTTACTTTTGCAGCCCTGATAATGTTGAATTCGAATATTCTGACGTCAAACTATGAGTAAACCAGATACTTTAACAATCCTTGTTTTTCAGTGTATACGGGCAAAGTGCCAATGCCGGTATAACAAATGCAGCAATCATTTCTGATTGACTTTTGCTTAATTAAAAAATTAAATATTATTATTTATAATAACTTATGACATACAAGTGACAATAATAGAAAGATAACATTTGAAAAAAATTATCAAAATAAAAATAATTGATTTTAAATGACTTCTATATCAACGATAATATCACATATATAATTTATATATAATATAGAAAAGAGAAATTAGGTGAAAAGTGAAAAGATTTCCGTTCACGTTGACATCGCTGTCTTTTCTATTTTTTAAGTATATATTATATTAATTTCAAACATACAAGAAAGACAAGAAAATTCAAAAATGTACACTGTCACCTGTATTGCACCTGTAAATATTGCTGTTATTAAATATTGTAAGTAAATTTTTCTAAATTGTTAAAAAATTGATTTCTTTAAAAATGAATTTAATAATTATTAATATTTTAATTATTTCATTGATTAATGAAAATTCATTAATAAATTCTTGTTTTATAATTCAAAATATTTTTCTCACAAAAGTTCCCTAAAAGATGAGTGAAAAAATTATTCTTTTATAATGAAAATAAATTTTTTAAAAATAGTCATTGAAAAAAGTTGAAGGCCTATAGTGATAATTCATATTTAAATGAGAATAACTTTAACTACGATAAGAATGTCAACGTTCAATTTGTTTTTAAGTTACAATTTTTACTTTTTTTTTTTTAATAAAATAATAATTTTTTCATAAAATAATTTATTATGGTAAATTAGTTTTTTAAAGTATTAAATACTTTTACAGAAAAAAATTTGTTTTCAATTTCAATTTGTTTTTAAGTTACAATTTTTACTTTTTTTTTATGAAATAATAATTTTTTCATAAAATAATTTATTATGGTAAAATAGTTTTTTAAAGTATTAAATATTTTTACAGAAAAAAATTTTCTTGTATTTAAAAAGTATTTCATTTTTTTTTTTTTTTAATTAAATATTTATATTTATTTTAGGGGGCAAACGAGACGAGAATTTAATTCTGCCGATAAATGACTCAATTAGCGCAACTTTAGACACAGAGCAGGTAATTTTTATATAATTATTTTTAACTGTATAAATATTCTTTTAAAAATTGGTATTTTGTCTTAATTAAATTTTTTTTTTCAGTTATGTGCAAAGACAACAATAATGGCTAGTCCTGATTTTGAAAACAATCAAATTTGGCTGAATGGCAAGTAAGTTAGAAACTAGTTTTTAAATGACAATAATAATAATTTATTATTGGTCAAATGCCAAAATTGAAAAATTATTATTAAAATGAGAACAAAAACAAAAAATTCCATTTTACGTTTGCAAAAATAAATTAAGTCACGTATTCGTTTTAGGGAAGAAACAATTAACAAACGACTGCAAAATTGTTTACAAGAAAGTAAGTGAACTTGAAATGAAAATGAAAAATTTACCTTAATATTCCGTGGAAAATTTTTTGTATTTTGTTTTTTTTTTTTTTTACAGTGAAAAAACGCGCTCAAATTGGAAATGATGTATTGCAATGGAAAATTCACATTTGTTCGGAAAATAATTTTCCAACTGCCGCTGGATTAGCTTCAAGTGCCGCTGGTTATGCATGTTTCGCATCTGCTTTGGCTAAACTCTATAAAGTAGAGGTTCGTTAATTTTTTTTTTCAATCAAATCTATTTCATTAAAAATTAAATATAAATCAAAAAAACTAATTTTGCTAAACTATAATTTTGTAAAAGTTCAGAAAAATGTGAAGAAAAGAAAAAGAGTAAAAATATTTATTTTATTTCTTTTTTTTAAGGGAGATATCAGCGCAGTTGCACGAGCAGGATCAGGATCTGCGTGTCGAAGTACAATGGGAGGATTTGTCAGATGGCACATGGGAACTGATCCCAAAGGAAATGACAGCATAGCCAGACAAATTGCACCAGCTAATCATTGGCCAGAAATGAGAATTCTCATTCTAGTTGTAAGTGCAACAAAAAAAAAAGTTCCCCAATTTTTTTTCAATGAATTTATTTGAAAATTTTGCTGAATTTTTTTTTGTGCCAACTGTATTAGGTAAAAGATGATAGAAAAAAAGTTTCCAGCGCCGAAGGAATGAAACGAGGTGTAGAAACTTCCGAATTATTAAAATATAGAGCCGAATTTATTGTTCCAAAAATAGCAAATCAAATGGAAAAGGCAATTTTAGAAAAAGACTTTCAACAATTTGCAAAATTAACAATGAAAGATTCAAATCAATTTCATGCAATTTGTCGCGATACATATCCACCGTGCGCTTATATGAATGATGTTTCTCAACTCGCCGTTGAATTAGTTCACGCTTATAATTCTACCGTTAATGAAACGAGGGTTTGTATTTTCTTTTTATAAAATTTAATAAAAACGTTTTTTAAATTAAAAAAAAAAAAAAATCCAAAGGAAAACAAATTTTAATTACTGTAAAAAATATTTCAGGTAGCTTACACATTTGATGCGGGTCCAAATCCAACTTTATATTTATTGGAAAAAAATGTTCCTGAATTTAGTGCAATTTTAGATTATTTCTTTCCATCATCGAAAGATGCAGTTGTTGAATATAAAAAAGGAATTCCAATTTCGTCAATCAAGCTTTCTGAAGTAATTTTTGGTTTCCTTTTTGTAGAATAATTTTGAAAAATCGCTTAAATTAATTTATCACAGTTGTAGAATCATTGTTCTAAATTTGGAAATTTTTTTCCAGGATCTATTGAAAAAAATGACAGTTAATCAACAACCACCAGGACAATTTAAATATATAATTCATACACGTGTTGGAGAAGGACCAAAAATATTAAAAAATGGAGAACATCATCTTCTAAATAATCATGGTCTTCCAGTAAAGGGTTTTATGACAAATTAATATTGTTATAAATTTAAAAAAATATATTAGGGAAATTGAATTTTATTTTTAAGGATCATAAAGAGGTGATAGAGAAATATAAATGACAATAATTTACAATAATTTCTACAAATTATTGTATCTTTGGACAATAATTTGTTGATATTCGAGGAAAAAAAAGCAATAAATATTTTTTCAACATATAAATATTTTTGTCATATTATTTTTAATTTTAATTGTGGTGATACGATATATTTAAACAATTTTCTAGAGACAAAAATAGGTTATATGTTTCGAATTTCTAGTAATTTATAATTTGTTTCTATTCATGCAAAAATCATGTAGACAAAAAAAAAAAAAAAAGATTAAACTGTAATTATAAAATAAATGAAAAAATATTTCGAGCACGTGCTCAATCATACCTTGAAAGATTCACACAGAAGAAGTAGATAAACATTTTATATTCAACATAGTCATCGAAACATAATTTATATATCTTGTGGATATTTAAATAATCTGTGCAATGAATAACTTAATATGTGTCATGAAATTAAATTATAAAACTAAAAATAACTATATACATTTATTATTCGTCAGAAAATAACAATTCTTTGTTTGAGATTTAAAACACTTTTGTCGTCTGCTAATGTTTGGCATTCGTCACGTGACATGTATCACGTGATCACTATTCAAAATTGCAACCCTTTAAAAAAATTAAAATCTCAGTGAAAATTCAAAATTCTAAAAAATTTATTTATTATTACTAATTTTAATCAGTTTCAGATTAATAATCGTTTTGTCGTCTATTAATGATCACGTCACGTCACAATTTTTTAAGGAGAAATTACGCATAACTGCCCAACCCTGACAAAAAATAGTTTGTAGGCAACTTCAAACCATTGACACTAGTTAAACCGATTTTCATATTTGTGTTTACATATTAATATGAATAAAAATTTCATTTAAATAAGATATTTTGTGAAAGATTAATATAATGTCTTTCACTGAAACGACAAATTTAAGAAACAAATTTAAATTTCTCAATTGTACAAAACATGAATTACTTTAATTTCTGTTTTCATAAAAAAGTTCATCCCCTTTTGGATCAAGATCTCAAAAATCGAATAGAAAATCTCGAGAAAATTATTCTTTCCCTAAGACCCGATGGTAAAAATATTAAATCAGTGAGAAATAAAAGTTTACAGTCTCTCATTAAAATTCTTCAGCAATCATCACAAAATCAATTACAATTGGAAAATCCCAAAATTATTATCAATTGTTCTCTGAAAATTCTCTCTCAATTCGATGATAGTTTCTGGTACATTGACACGTGTGGATGGAAACGTCGTAAACGTTATCAAGCAGCAAAACAGTGTTATATTCATCTTTTGAAAATATTTATTCCAATAAAATGTCAACAAATCGTTGAAATTGTCATTAATCATCTCAATGATGAAAATCTTTGGCAAATTGAAGATTTATGTTCGGAAATAATTTGGGAATTAATTGAATCAGGTGCACATGGTGCAATTGTTGCACATGCATTGTGCGATAAAGTTGAAGAACAAATTTCATTAATTAATAATGCACGAACAATTATAAAAACACTCTATGAATTACTCGCTATTTATAAATGGCCACAAACTGAAGAAACTGTTATTTTTATTGAAAGACTATTGAAACTTTATCTCATGAGTTTACAAAATCGTTCCGATGCATTTACACGTGGTTTTGAACTTTGCATTCGATATCTTATAAAACAAACATCAAATTCATTGATATTAATTTTTATTCATCGAATGTGTTATTGGGCAATTAATGAAAATACAAAAAAATATTCAATTTTAGATTTTGGCAGTACATTAGAATATGCGGCTTATATGCATGAAACTGATCTTTTTGAAAATACTTTGACAGACGAAATATTTCCTCTTGTTGTAAAAATGATAAAATCATCAAATCGTCTCGTTAGTCTTCTTGGTAATCGTGTAATGCAATATCTTATTGATCGTGGAAAAAATCGATTTCTCTTTGATACGCCAAAGATTTTTTTTCAACATTCTCGATTTCATTTAAATAATCGACCATATCGTATGGAGGATAAGGCATTTTTAAAAAAACATCGTGAAGATATACACGAATGTCTATTGATGAGTGTCATTAATCATTGTTCATATCGATTAAATTTAGAAACAACATATTGTACAATATGTTTAATTGCCGTTGAAATTCCTTGTGGATTCACTGCAGCATCATTGGCATGTCTCACTATGACAATACAAGATAAAATAATGTCACTAGGAAATTTTCATCGTGAATCTGTTTATCATGTTCATGTTTTAATAATTTCAATAATATCACTTTTATGCTGGTTACATCAAGCTGAATCATTTTATGAATATGTGAATAAAATAATTATGGAGAGAGCACAATGGGCACCGTATTTAAATCCACCAATTCAATCACGTTATAATTTTGCCACACATCATGTACGATGGGAGAAACCGGAACTTTTTTTCATCGATTGGGAAGTACGTTATGGACTATGGAAACATTTTCGTCTACGTCAGGATTCGAAAAAAATTATTAAAACAGAATGAAATGTCTTTAAAGTGAAAAATATTTATTTTCAACAAAACGGTGAGTTTATTTACTTATCTTTTATAATAACAATCGTCATTATTATTTATTATAATAATTATTTATAATAATAATTGAAACGATTATTAATTAATTTACTGTCTATAATAATTGAAGATAAATTTCCAAAGAGAAGAAATAATTTAAAAACTAATTTATGTACAAATAAGCGGAGATGGTAACAAATGAACTAAAACCATATATCCTCTCCATCTTCTTCATTTGATGGCAGTTCTTTTTTCTCAAGAATAGGCTCATCTTTTGTTTCAATTTCATCTTCTGATTCCGATACTGCTAAATCGTCTTGAATTTTACTTTCTTCTTTCTTTTCCCTCGCTGGTAGACCAGCTAATAAGAAATCTGATGGATCGTAATTTGGATCAACGTCCATACTTTCATCTGTAATTTTTTTTTTTTCGATTAGTGATTTTCAAAAATTGTGAATTATTGAAAAGTTTTAAGAATAATTGGAAGAATTTATTAAAATTACCTTGCTGAAGAATAGGTTGTTGTTCTCCAGTATAAAATCCTACATTTCCTAATTGGACCATTGCCTCCGCTGCCTGTTGACTGTCATCGTCTGCCGGCATTTCAATATCTCTCATTTCACTCATTGGCGATTCAATTCTATCGAGTCCTTGATAATTCACCTTCATATCACTTTGAAAATTAACAGAAATTAATTATTAGAAAGAAATAAATTATAATTATCAAAACTAATATTTGATTTATTTTAAATTCAAATGAAAAATTTTTTTTACCGATTTTCTTCAAATTGTAAATTATCCATTTCCACGTGATCTGTTGGTTCTTCACCAATAAATGGTACTTCGTCAAATTCATCTTCACTTGAACACTGTAGATCTGTAAATTAAAAAACAGGGATTGAGTTTCAATATTATTTAATTTTCTTCATTTTATTTTTATATGAATTTAAATTAAAAATTATATTTATATGACATATTGCATAAAAATCTTTAGAATTTTAAAGAATTCATAGATTTATTTTTTAAACAAATTTTGAAATTTAAAAATTCGTATCTCTTAAAATTCTGTTGAATGAGAATTATGCTAAATTAAAATTTGGTTAAATAAAAAGTAAAAAAAATTCTGCCAAATAAAAGTTTGGTAACTAAAAAATTTATTAAATAAAAATTCTTTTAAAAAATAATTATAAATAAAATTCTTGAAATTGAAGATTCTAATTATTTTTATGAAATAATCATGCGTCCCGTTTATATATGTAATTTATAAATACATATTTGTGAAATATTTATTACCTTCTTCGAGAAGATCTTTTTTCTTCGATGGTCCAGCAACTTCTCCTTCAATGTCTCCTTCGACATCGACGAAATTATAATCGTCCAAATGAGATTTATCAAAAATATTTTCCGGAGAACTTGGTTGGCTCTAAAATTAAATGTAATTTAAAAAAAGAAATCTAAAAAAAAAAATCTAATCTTTCAAAAAGAAATTGTTTTCAATTTACCCCATGAAAATCAGGTTCTGCAATTGTATAATTGTCTTCATCTGGTCCTAACCAAGATGAATCAATATCAGCTTGTTCCATTGCTCGCTTTTGTACCAATGCAATGCTATTTTCAATATTTGTAAGACTCTCGCCATACTGAAAATTATTATTAAATTTTTTTTTTAATCAAGTTCAAAAATTAAAAATATTATAATTCCCCTTGCAATTAATGAATTACTTACAGAATCCAATGTAACTGTACAAATTTTTAACATTGATTCAGCTTTTTGAGTAAATGGCGATTCATTTCCATTGTATCGTCGGCAATTCTCAAGAATTTGTTCTATATCTCGGAGAAAACTGTGACGACTATGATACTTGTGAGCTAGAAACAAAAAAAATATTTCAATTTCTAGAAAAATGATTTTTAATTAAATATTTTCATTTTAAATTATCGATTATAATACCTGCAATTTTTCTCGAAATTGTCTCAAGATCCATTGGTTTTTTAATTACATTATAATAATCTTTAACCATTTTTTTACTGACTGGCTTATGAAATGGCCATAAATCTTGCATTGATTTAAGTTTATTATTAACATCACCGAGAATAAATGAAAGTGCAACTTGATCATTATCATCAAGTAGAGGATTTATTGCCTTTTCAAGTCTCATTAATCGATCTTCTTTTTCACGAAGTCTTTCAACACAAATATCTAACATTCGTTTTGCCGCCACTGTCAATGAACTATTTCTTCCATTATAAATTGCTGAATTTTCCACAATTTGATTAACAGCCGCAAGAAATTCTTCTCGATTACGATATTTTTTCTGTCGTAAATGATCTCTTATTGTTTGTAAATCCATTGGTTTTTCAATAATTTTATGATAATCTGGTACAGACTGAAAATGATAAATTCAATGATAACATTTTTTTAAAAATTAAAAAAAAATTCATAATGTCTAGTAAATAAGATTAAATAATTTTTTAAAAATACCTTCGCATTGACAGGAAACAAAAATGGTTGTACATCCGGTAAATCTCTCATCTCGTTCAAAATATTTTCAAGCATTGTTGACATAACAACCACAGGATCTGTTCTTCTTCTATTTGCTGGCCTTTGTTGTCTTTTCAAATAATCACAATGCTCATCACCAGTTATTCTTCTTCGTTTCTTTGAATTTACAGCATCCTTTGGTACTTTCAACAGCAAGGTGCGTTTCTTCATTTCCTCTGCGTGCTGAGATTCCAAAATCTCAATTTATTTCATAATTAGTATTTTTATAATTATTATTCTTAGTTCTTTTTTTTTTTTTTTTAAAAAAAAGAAGTTCCTTTTGAGAAATGGAGAGTAGATCCAAAATAAATCCAACGGTTTTCTTTCCCAACAAGAATTTTTTTCCAATAACAAATTAATAAAAAATAAAATACTTTTTCCAAATTGATAATTTTCAAAAAATTTTAATCAATATCTTTGATAATTTTACTATTTTTAATCACATAGAAAATTTTAAATAAATAAATTATTGTACAATCTTTTTTGTGACAAGTTGGGAAAAAAATCCGTGGCAAAATTGTCCTACAATTAGTGATATTAAAAAATAAAATTTTCAAAAATACCTTTATAAGTTTTGAGGATAATTTCACTTTAGTTCCATCGACATTGACAAGATCCTGATCATCGGTATTGAGTTGTTTCTCGATTTCTTCTTCCTGTTCCTCGGTCATTGCCACATTGACTGGAGTTGTTGTCGCTGTACCATTCTGATAAAGGGGACAAGCTTTATTAGTACGCATATGCCCTACATTACCGCAAGCACCGCATTTAACTTTTAAATCTGGTTTAAGTTTAGGTTTTTTACGTCTTGGTGTACTTGTATCAGATCTAATAGATTTAGGAGTAAGAGTAGAAGAAGGAAAATTTGATAATGGAAGGATACTGGCATTGGATGTTAATGGTGTACTGGAATTACTTCGATCAAGTAAATTTGCCGAACTAAATGGTGTATTTGAATTGCCCGCCAACATTCGTTCACGTTCTTGATTACGTTTAATTCTTCTCAATTGCTCCTGTATACGTCGTTTTTCACGTTTCATTTCCTCCTTTTGTGCCTCGTCCAATATTGCAAATTGTTTGATAAATGTCTCGTCTTTGGAATTACGAATTTTTAAATATGTATCAATAACAGCCGGTTTGCGAACAGTTTCAACTCGCGTGAATTCTTTACCCTCAGGATTACGGAATGTACGATAAATTTTTAATACACGTCCTGGCTGCGCTAAATTATTCACTGGCGATTCATCCTCATCATCTTTTTTCTTCTCACGATTCTTTTTATCTTGCTCTTGATTCTCGTCCATTAACATTTTACGCAATTCATGACGTTGTTGTTCCTCTTTTTCGAGTGACAATTGTGTACTTGTTTTTTTATTCGACAGCATATTTTCAATATTTTTACCCATTTCCTCAATATCGGAACTATCTTCCTCGGAACTTTCGCCCTCGTCGGTACTGAGAACTTCATACGAGGCTAGGACACGATTTTGTAAATCGAAAATACGTTGACATTCTTCTTTATATCTTTCCTGATGTTCTGCAATTGAGAAACGATTACCTCGTGAGAATTTTGTCATTACTTCCTCACCGGCTTTTGCTTTCTCAGTGGATAATGTTCGTACCACATCAATTACTTCCCAACGGGAAAGTTTTTTAATCTCCTCTTCAGGAACACCGAATTTACGAAGCAATGCTTTTGCATTATTTAGGGACAATCTTCTCAAATCCGCATCGGTACCAGTGACAGTGCGTTTTGGTTGTGCTTCCTGTTCTTCTTTACTAATTGTCGGTTTATTTGGAACACGAACATATGAGAAACCTTCACCACATCCAGTTGGATCTGCTGGACCCGCAAGTTGTAATAAACATTTCCCTTTCATTGCTTGAATATAAGCACGTGTTGTATTCCATGGTGCAACTTTAACCTCATCATCCATTTTCAATTGCATTTCCTCATCGTCATCGTCCTGTGGTGTAAATAAAAATTTTTCCCCATAACCCGCGTCTTTTAATCTCTGTTCAGCGGCAATTAAACTAAAATAAGCGCAACATTGTTCAGGCGATACCATTGCTCTTATTTCCTCCTCTGATGGTAAACGAAATTCCGGTTTAATAACCCACCAATTTGAATCCATTCCCGTACGTTTAAAATCGGCGCATAATTTCAATCTTTTACGAATACTACTCTCGCTGTGCGATGGAAATGCTTTTTTAATATCGTCCATTCTAATTCGTCGTGGTGTGTCCGTTGATTTCCAAAATAAACGATAGATAAAAACTTGAAGAAAATCACGTACAAAGATATTTGCTCGTTTTGAATTTGGTCCCGGTACTTCGTAAAGTGGACACAATTGTCCGGCAACAAAAAGTGCATCAATTTCACGAATATGATATTGATGACGTGTTCTTATTACAAGAAAATCGGAAAATGGAATTTTATGCTCGTAAATTGGTGCACGATACATATTATTTTCAATTGCCTGTATACTTTGACCGGGTGTGAGAATACCAAGAAATGGACTCGTATGAGCGTATGCTGTTTCACCGTATTTATATTTTTGTGGCCCTTGATCTTTACCAGCTTTTCTTTTATAATAATTCTTCATTTTCGAACACATACCAACTTGATTTATCAATGGTGGATGTTCTTCGGAAAATTCAATGAGAACAATTTCTCCATCACGACCAGTTAAATCCTCGGGTGTTCTCATAAAGAAAACATCACCACCACCTGAGGCTAATCTCTCCTGTTCACGATGTTTTGCTTTCTTTTTAATATGCTTCAATAGCGGTAAAACGGGATGATGACCCGCGTGTGCAAGTGGTCCGTGACTAAAACGTCTCAATGGAGGACGATGAAAATTTCTTAATCGCATTGGTCCCATGTAGGTTTGCACAAATGGTGCACGTAGTTCAACAACGGGAGTACTATGTTGAATTATATTTCCACCACCGACTTTTAATCTCAATGTAGTTTCCGAAGAACGTGGCAAATAGAAAGTGTCATTTGAAATATTAAATGGATCACGATCCGGTGATTTTGGTGGAGGTGGTGGAGTATCCTCTTCAAGGACATTAATCACACCGGCTTTTCCCAACAATAATTTACTCTTCTTCACATGAGGATGGGGAATTTTAACCTTTGGCTGACGTCCATGTTCTTTATGAAGCAAAGCCGGATCAATATCATCCGGAATACCAAGAACAATATTCTCATCGTTTGGATCAAGTGTCAATATTTTTGGTTTGGGAATTTTTTTCATACTCTCCGCATTCCAAATAACTTCATCCTCCCAAAGACCATAAACAAGTTCTTCATTCTCCACTGGAAATATCGAGTACCATGTGTCGTCGTAATTTTCCTCTCTTATTTGCTGAGCACCCTTTGAAAGTGGCCTAAAAAAAAAAAAGAAATTATTAATAAGCCTGTAATTATTAAAATAAATTTTTAAAAAATCACTTACAATTTATTCTTTTGCGATGGCGCCATTATTTGTGTAGCTAGACGAACATTTGGTGCAACTGGAACTGGAGCTCCTTTTCCAGGTTGACTAAAAGCTTGAGCTGTTCTATTTCCACTCGATGGAACCCAACCAGCTGCATTATTTTTACTATTCAACTTATGCATTACTTTATGTTTTATCTCTTCTCCATTCCATACCACATCATCTTCCCAACGCAATTGAGAAACCATCAAAAATGCATCGTCAGCAAATTCCTCTTTTACAACTTCTTCCTCTTGTTGTTCTTCCTGAAATAATAATTCTTTAATATAAACAAAAAATTCAAAAATGATTTAAATTCTACCTTTTCGGCTGTTTTAAATCCATAATTAAAACCATCTCCAGTTTCCGGTACTCCAAGAATATCGTACCAAATTTGTGCTGGACCAAAACGCCAATCGGCAACTTTTGGACCCATATCGCCATTTTCGACAAATTCACCAGATTTTCCCGATTGTTCCTTATCTTCAACTGGTTTCAATAGCTTCTCCTCGTCATCTGATCGACATTCAGCCGCTGATGGTTCTGGTCCATACTGCATAACCCATCCCTTAAAAAGCAAAAATTTTTTTTTATAAATCCTATTTTCAAAAAGCAAAATTTCAAAATAGAAAATAAAGTACTTTAAATTTAGATTTTCTTGACTCTTGATCCGAACCAGAATCAGAATCTCTAATCTCTTGATGACGTTTCTTTTTCCTACGTTTTTTAACACCACGCCAAATTTGTGGCAAACTACTCGGTTTTCCTGGACCAAAAAGTTTGGAAAAACGTAAAACTTTATTTGCCCGAAAATCGGGAAACAATTCAGTTACATCAATATTTGCATATTTTGATGGTAGCATTGATGCAAGTGGTGTTTCTAATTTTCGTCTTCTAACAGCTTCCGCCTCTTCGGGTGTTAAAATTTCTTTTTCATCTGGCAATGGTGGCGGTGGCATTAATTGTGTATCGGATTTATTAAACGGTTCCTCATCATCTGCATCGTAATCCGAATTTTCTTTCTCTGTTCGTTTCTTATTATCAAACATTTCGTCTAGAAAAAAAAAAAATTTTAAATCAATAAAAATTACTTTTACTTCTATTTTTTGTAAAATTATTTTTTTTTTCAAAATATTTTTACCACTTTTAAAAATTATTAAAAAATTTTATTTCTAATTCATTTTCGTCTCTTTTTACTTATTAATAATAATTCTAAATTTTATGATTTTCCGAAGAAAAAATAAATAATCGTCACTCGACAATGGAAAAATTTTCTTTTCTTTTAATAAGAATTTATTTTTATATTGAAGTTGAAGGGTCCATAGAATCTGCTCGACAAAAAAAGATATAAAATAAAGAAAATGATTTTCAAGAAAAATTCTTTTTTTTAAATAAAAACTCAAATAGGGGATTTTTTACATTTAAAAAAATTCTTTTAAACGGCCCAATTATCGTAATATCACATTTTTTTATTTCATATATTTACAATATACAAAATCCATTTGAAATATTTCCTAAAATATTTTATTGTAAAAGAATGTTATTGGAATTGAAATAATATATACAACTAATAAAATAATATCAATAATGTCAATGGAACCAAAGAAAAACATACTTGTATTCTCTTCACAATTATCATCGGCTAATTCATTAATGTCAGAAAAATCAAAAGCTGATGGTGATTTTTCCTGATAATCATCTTCTTTATCACTTGTAACAATATTGTCTTTTTCACTTTCTTTTTCCTCTTTATTATCACTGTCATCTTCATTTGATTTTTTGGTATCAATATCATCCATTAACATTTCTTGTAAAAGTGAACTTATTCCAAAATGACTTAAAGAAGCAAGATGTTGTTTTGCTTCAGAATCAAGAATATCATCCTCTAATTCGCCATTTTTATCAATATTTCCAAACATAAAACCAGTCATGTTGATAGATCCATCATCCCTATCGTTCTCTTCGTCTGAATCCATTTTATTTTGCTAATTAAACGACTTATTGAAATAAAAGCTACTTATCTCTTTTATACTCGATTATTAGTTTATAAGTACTAAATTTTATATATTAAAAAATTTTCGAATAAATTTTTCATATTAGAGGTTAGGAATACTTAACAGTCTTTCCTTTCCTCTCTCCTTATGTTTAAATTGATTCACATTCTTCGATTTTTTTTCACTTTACATTTTAGTACTCATTTAAATGTTTATATTGTTTAATTCTATAAACAATTTAATAATAACTGGAGACTTTCAGACAGTTGTCAATCGCACTTTAATCACTGAATAGAAATTAAATAGATTTCACCGCAAGTGTTGAGAACTGTATACCTTAAGGTACGTTCACAACCTAAATTACGTGTTTTATGTTTAATGAGTTGACCATCTATTATATTTTGTCAGTGGACCAAAGCTCAGTAAAGCTGTTGGTGAGCGTGTAGTGTTATAATTATTCAAATTAAATTAATTCCCCACAAATAATAATCATGTAAGTTAAATTTAATTATTGAAGAAGTCAAAACTTCGTTTAGTATCGAAGTGAAATTTTCAACTATCGTGAATAGAAAGTGATTTTATTTGAAAAAAAACGCTTTGCATCGTAAAGCTAACCTCTCGGATAAGAATGGCGGTCGGTTCAACAAAAGTTGTACAGGTAACAAACATTGCACCCCAAGCGACTAAGGATCAGATGCAAACACTATTTGGCTATCTTGGAAAAATAGAGGACATAAGATTATATCCAACAATTCGAGATGTTGCAGTACCGGTACAATCGCGTATTTGTTACATCAAATTTCACGATCATGGCTGTGTTTCGGTTGCTCAGCACATGACAAATACTGTTTTTATTGACCGTGCTCTAATTGTCATTCCATATCAGAATGGAGATATTCCTGACGAACAACGAGCTCTTGAATTAACTAACAATGGTACAATAGTGCCAGGTATGTATAAATTTTATTTTTAAAATACATTTCAAAGAATTTTTATATTTTGATAACTATTACTATTTTTAAAAAAACAATTTACTTTTTCAGGTCTTTATCCATCAGAACCGAAACTTCCAGCAAATGTAGTAAACGCAATAGAAGGAACTCCTCCGAATCATGTTATCACAACAGTGGATCCAAAATTGGAAGCAAGTGGCCTTGAACCCTATCCTCATTTGCCCGGTCATCTTGATAGTCGAAGAATCGAAGAAATAAGAAGAACCCTCTTTATAGCCAATTTGGATACATCAATAACGACAGAACAATTAATTGAATTTTTCAGTAATAATAATGTTGAAGTAAAATATGGAAGAATTTGTACTCGTGATTCAGACACTGAACATTATGCATTAATTGAACTTACCGAACAAACATCAATTATTCCTGCATTACAATTAAATGACGAATTATTGGGCGATATGCCAATAAAAATAAGTCATTCAACACAAGCAATATCAAAACCCGAGGCAAAAAGTAATGAAGCAGCACAAAAAGAAATTGAAGAGGCAATGTCAAGAGTTAAGGAAGCACATAATTTAATATCAGCAGCAATTGATCCAATGATTGGTGGTATGCTATCAAAAGATAAACGAAGTCGTAGTGGTTCACGTGGTAGAAAATCACGTTCACGTTCACGTGGTCGTTCACGAAGATCACGTTCCCGTAAACGTTCACGTTCACGTCATAGACGTTCACGTTCGCGGCATCGTCGTCGTTCACGATCACGTTCAAAACGTCGTTCACGTTCAAAAGAACGTCGACGAAAATCACAATCACGAAGACGTAGCAGTTCACGTGGTCGTCATCGTTCACGTTCACGTTCACGAAGATCACGTTCAAGACGTTCACGTTCACGTTCCAAGGATCGTAAAAAGAAATCATCGCCAAAACGAAGAAGTCGAACACGTTCGCGTACACCGCGCAGTAAACGTTCGAAATCACAAACAAGACGTTCGCGATCAAAATCAAAAACACGATCGTCAAAATCAAAATACTCGGAAAAAACCAGAGAAAAGGAAAAAGATAGACGCAGTAAGGATAAAACGGAGAGCAATGGAAAGAAGAGTGACAGCGATAAAAGCGAGAGAAGTGATAAGAAATCGAGTCGTGATAAAAAATCGGACAGAGATGCAAAATCTGATGAGAAATCACGTGCTAGTTCGGAATATCGCGATAGCAAGGAACGACAAGGCTCTTCAGATTAAATTAATTTTTTTTTGTTTCAAATTAAATTGAAGCGCTGAATTGTGTGAATTTTTTTTAATTATACCGTTTTTTTTTTTTTGGAAAAAAAAATGAATCAATTGTAACGAATTAGTTAATAAATATATATGTATAAAATAACGCTTTTATAAGTGTAAAAATTTTTAATTTTAATTTAAAATTTTTAATTTTTAATTGAAAATTGAAAATTGAAAATTAAAAATTGAATATTCTTAAATTTTTAAATGAAAAAAAAAATTAACATTTATTTATACAACAAAAAAAAATAACTACAAAAGAAAATTAATTTCGCAATGTCACTAACGCTCTGTATGGCAATGGTCCAGCAGTGACACCATCAATAAATTCACTAGATATTGGCTTCTCTTCACCGGGAACAACCGAGAATGTGAATTGAGATAAAAGCGTTGCAACCATAACGAAAATGTTACTTTTCGCAAGACCTTCACCCATACATCGATGTTTTCCTAGAAAATAAATTTTAAAATAAAAAAATTTTCGATTTTTTTTTTAAATTCCATTTTTCTTTTTTTCTTTTGTTTCAGTTTTTAAAAAAAAATTAATACCAAAACTAAATGGTAGAAATTGTTCCGGTATCGTCAATTTTCCTTGATCATCAATAAATCTCTCGGGACGAAATGCTTCAGAATCGTCCCAAAAATAATCCATTAGAACTTTATTGAAATTAACGACAATCATCGTATCCTGTAAAAGGAATATTTTTAAAATTATTTTCAAAAAATTCTTTAAATTATTTTAAAAAAATTTTTTAAATTACTTTCTTTTATTTTCTTACCTTTGGAATTCGATGACCCAAAATATATGTATCCTCTAATGCTCTATGTGGAACATTCATCGTTCGTCCCATAAACATTCTTAAGGATTCGTATACTATTGCATTAACGTAAGTCATTCTAAATTTTGCAAATTTAATTATTTTGTTAAATAATATTATTTTTTAATAATATTTATATATTTAATATTTAAATGTTTCTTTCAGATTACCTTGATTTATCATTTAATGTTGGTAACCGCTTACGAGCAGTTATTGAATCTATTTCATCTTGTGCTTTTTTTTGCACATCTGGATTTAAAACCAAATGTAAAAAACAAAATCCCAATGTTTTTGCTGTGGTTTCCGATCCAGCCATAAATAAATCGACACATATTGCCAGGAGTTGAGATTCTGAAATAAAGTAATTTTTTTTTTTTAATAAATTGAAGAATATTTAAAAAAAAAAAATGATATAAAATTACCTGAGAATGATTCATTGGGCTTTTCGGATTGCAAAACTTGTAAATAGGTATCCATTAAATCTCTCGGAGAGTCAGGATTAAATGTTTCTTTGTGATTTTGCAATTCGACCTTAAAGAAATATATTTTTTTCATTTTAATAAAATTTTTTATTAAATAAAAATATAAAAAAAAAAAAATTAATATAAAATTTTATACTAACTTTTATAAAGTGCCATAATTCTTGATGAGTTTCTAAAAATGTTTTGTAACCACTTGCTTCAGGTGCGATGTATCTTAAAAATGGAAAATGACCAAATGCACTTCCAATCATTGCAATTTCGCCAAGAAGTTTATTGAGAATTCTCAAAAGATGTTTCAATGGTTTATCATCAGTGTTGTATCTGCAATTTATTTTTTAATCGTAAGTTTATGAGATTTTTTTAATGAAAATTATATTTAGAAAATAAGAATTTCTAAATTTAAATTTCCAATTGCAATTTTTCTCATACTGTAAATTTTTAGTCTACATGAAGAGATATAAAATAAATTAATTATATAAAAAATCTTAAAATTAATTTTATTAATCTAATTTTAAAATTAGTCCAATTGGTATTTTTTTTTCATTCAGAATTAAAATATTTAAAAAATTATTTTTTAAATTTTATATTTTTGATTTATTTTCAAAATTAATTGTTTTCAGTATTTACCGTCTGCCTGCCATCATTCGCCAAAGAGTATTTAATACAGGAACACCAAAAGCATCGTGCATTGAAACAACAACACTTGTTGGTTGTGAGAGTCTTCGAATTTCTTCATAGTCCTCGGCTTTTGCATAAACATGCTCTAATTTCATTGGTTTGAATATTTCTTCATTTTCATTTGTTTTCATTTCCATTTCGTCTATTAATTGATAAATTTGACCGTCTTTTGATTTTTTATTATTATTATAGGAGGCATTATAATCACTTGACGAGTCTTGTGAATTGGATGTTCCTTGAATGAGCTTTCTGAAATAATCAACAAGTTGCTGTGCTTCCTCTTCGACCAAAGTTGCCATACTTGTTTTTCCAAAACCAAATTCACGTAAATGACGTACTACAAATCTTCGTTGTTCGCTCCATAAATTTCCATCCGTAAGAATGAGACCTGTAAATTATTATTTATTTATTTTTAATTATTTTATTTTTAATTTTTTTCATTTTGGAATATTTTTTTTTCTTACCGAGTCTTTTGCCAAAGGTTCTGACTTCATAAACGGGACCAAAGGGTCTTCCATCGCAGACATCATTTAGACACATCGATCGCATACTTTCAAAACTATTCAATACAACGATTCGATCGATGCCAATTTTTAATCCAACTACAGGGCCATATTTCTGACTTAGTGTTGTGAAAGTTAAAGCTAAGGATCCAGTTTCTTTTCTTAGTCGCTTCACTTCCAAAGCAGATCCAAGAATTGGCAACCATCGTGGCCCTTTTTTTTTATATAAAGAAACAAAAGGTTAATAATTTTCTTCTTTTTCAAAATTAATATTTTTAAACATTTTTTAATACACCTTTAAAATTTAATTTTAATTTTAAATTAAAAATAAAATTTACCTGGCGGATATCCTTGGGGTTTTCGTGATCCCAAATAGAAAAGAAGTAACGTCACAATAAAAAAAAGAGTTGCTGTTAAAAAAAAACTAAAACAAAATTTTTAAATTAGTGAATATAAATTTATAAAAATAAATATAAATTTTTAAATTTATTTAATTTAAAATTTTTTTAATTTTAAATTTGAAGAACTATAAAAAAGTATTTGAGCAAATTTTTTGTTTAAATTGTAGATAATTATTAATTTATAAAAAATTTTCTAAATTTTTGTTTAATGTAAATAAACAAAAGTAGGTTAATATTGCATTTGTAAACAAAATTGCATTGCAGAATGATAACTTTTTTTTTTTTTTGACATATATATGCAATTCGTTTAAAGACGTATATTTAAATATTGTAAAACTTTTCCATTCTCTGCTTCAAAGAAAGTGAAACGTATAATCTCATTGGTGAAAGTTGTATACGGAAGGTGCGTGTTTTAGAGACTTTCAATCTTGTATCATAACGTGTTGCGTAATTTTACACATCTTATTCTTTTTTTTTTTTTTAATTATTTGCAATATTAGACAATTATTAGCCATCTATTTCTCTTGTTTAAAGATTTTCCAAAAAAACAAATTGCAAAAAAAATATTTTATTTTAAATTTTGATTTTTTTCACTTTATAAAATTTTTAAAATATTTTTTTCTTAAATGAATATTTGAATTGAATTTAGATTTAAATTTATATAATTTATTTTTTAGCGTATTTTTTTTCATTCATAATTTTTTTTTTCTCACTTGAATTTGATTTATATTTCGAATAATTATAAGTAAAATTTTAAAAGTTTAAAATTTTTAATTCTCGACTGTTAATAGAATTTAATTAATTGAAATAATAAGGAAAAACATTAATTATTTATAAATTATTTGTTGCACAAGAAAGGGTGAAAATTAATTTTAATCAGGAAAAACACTAATTATAGGAATTAATTTAAATTCAACGGATATATAAATATTATGTCACTCTGTATTTTCACATTTTCTTTTTTGTTCACAAATTCTAACTCACGTGTTACAGATTCACTGGGATTTACCTTATTTCCCACATGATTAGCCCACGAGTATGTCTGCAAAACTGTCTGCGAGTTGAGGTAAACCTTGCATTTATCTGTTTCACTTCTTTCTTTTTGCAACGGATGCTGTCGTGTAGTATGAGTAGGGAGAAGGTAAATTTTTGCAATTAATTAAAGAAAAAAATTAAAAACTAGAAAAATATTTTTTAAAACTAATTTTTAATTAATTTTACTATCTATAATTTTTCTAATTTTCTAATGTAATACAAAGTATGATAAAAAAAAGATTACGAATTTTTAAAAGTTATTTTTTATTTTCGTTAGTATTAGTAATTTATAAAAATAAAATTTGTAAAAACTTTTTTAGTTTTCTCAAAAAGACTTTCTTTTTCAAATTTCGAAAAATGTATATAAAATGAAACTTTCGGAGTTTACAAACAGATGGCATTAAGATTCAGTTTCCGATGATAATTCAGTTTTTTTTTTATCAATTTATAAAAATTTAACTATTTGTTAATTTTGGTATTTTTTTTTTATATTAAACTTAAATTTTAATTAAAAAAGATTCTAGTCTCTATTTATTATTTTTGACTCATTTAAATAATTTTTTTTATTATTAGTTATTAAAAATTTATTCTGCTCTTTATTTATATTTTTTTTATTTATAAAATTAAAAAAGAATTGTAAGAATATTAAAATGATAAAATACAAAAATTATATTTAAAATCATAAGAAACGGGAAATAATTTTAATAATTAAGATTGCGACTTACGTGAAAGTTTAATTATTTAAATTTTTGACTATTCATTCTCTTCTTTTTTTGTAAATCGAGGATGTTTGTAACTTTAATAAATTTATAAATAGAATTTTTTTTTCCATATAAGCAACGACAACTTTCCTTTAGAAAATAAAAGTGAGTTTAATTTATTTGTTTCGAAAGTTATAAATCTTTTACTACAAATAAGACAAATTATTTATTTGAAGAAAAAAAAATAAATATTTACAAAAAAAAAAAATACAAACAAAAGGAGAAAGTTATAATTAAGGAATAGGTAATTAATTATTAAATTAATAGAAATTGTAGTTAACAAATTGAAAGTTACAATTTTTACTTACAATTAAAAATTATAATGAATTAACTAATTAATTTTTCGTAATCTTTTTTATTGTAATACATAGATTTTGGCAGTCACAATATATCATAATATTGTCATACATATACATATATATTTTTTTCTCTATTACATAATAATTTTTTTTTTTTTTATTTACATTATACGGGGAACAAATATACGAATAATGAATACTTATATCTATTTTTATTTCTTTTTTTATTCTAAATATTTTCTTTCAATACTATTTTTTTATCTGTACAAACTTTATTTTATTACTAAAATTTATTATACACATTGTCGAACATCGTTAACTCAAAATTATAGTAATTCAAAATTTTCTTTTATTTCTTTCATTAAAATTCAAAATTTTCTTTTATTTCTTTTATTAAAATTCAAAATTTTCTTTTATTAAAAATTCCATAATTGATATTTTGATAATAATCAATAATTAATTTTCTTTGTAACTTGAATTTAAATTTTTTCTCTGATTTGAGTTATCGAGGTTTGACTGTATTTATCCTATTTTTAAAACGTAAATTTTATATTAACGTTTGACATTTTATACACTGGTTTTTTTTTTCCAAAATTTACATTAAAAACTTTTATAACAAAAAATAATCTTTAGAATTTTTCTAATATATAAAAATCAAAATATTTGTTATATTTGGAAGAATTCTATTTTAAAAAACATTTTTTAAACATTTTTTTTTCTTTTCAAACTTATTATTATTAAAATGGTTAAAAAAAAAAATATTCTTTTTAGTAACCCGCCATTTCTGACGAGGAACAATATTATTCGTAAGAAGGGTTCCCTTAAAGAAACCAGTTTCTAACTCCTCCCAAAAACTCTTTCTAATAAAACGCTGTCTTTCTATTGGATAAATCACAAATCAAGTTCCCCTCTAGGAAAGCAAAAAAAAAAAAGAAAAAAAAAATCCTTTCAAAGAAATATTATTGTTATAAATATTACAAAAATAATTTTCTAAATTTATAATTAAAATTATTTTCTATAGCCTATTTATTTACATTAATGTTCATGATTGAAAAAAAAGCTGAGCTTTATAAAACTTTGGTTTAATTTTTAATTAATTTTCAAAAAAAAAAAGAAATTTTTTTTCCAAATTTTTTCAATTTTTGAAAACGATTCAATTTTTTTCAGACCTTATGGAAAAATTAACTTTTTTTCAAAAATTTTTGCTATTAAAAATAAATTATAAAATGAATTTTTTTGTTATTATTGCAGAGTTATTTATAAATAAATGAAGAAATTGAATCAGGCAAAGGCGTGAACTCTTGTAAGGACTTCGTCACAAGATTGACCATGAAAAACATCATCCAAATGATCGCCACGATTTTCTTCGTACTCCGCGGGTCACATGGTGTGCTGAGGTGGAGGTAAGATAATATCGTATCCTGACGATGAATCTCTTATTCCTTGTTGATAATGATGATGGGAAGTTGCCATCATTTGATGATGTGTCTGTTGATAATATTGATGATGGCTCATACTCGAATGACTCGAATAATAAACAGAACTTTGATCAATATCTTTTCCTGAAAAATCGAATTTTTTCATTAATTACAAAAGTAAATGTAAAATATTAATTTATATATTTTTTTATTTTCATCATTTACTCTTTTTAATATTATTATTATTTATTTTTAATAATTAAAATTTTTTTATTACCAATTTTTAATAATTTATAAATATTTCTATTATTTATTATAGTTCATGCCTTTTGGCTTTGAATGAACTTCCGGTTAATAAACTTATTAAACAAAATTAAAAGATAAATTCAAATTCATTTTAACTAAATTATAAATATTTATATTATTCATAATAAATAATTATAAAATTTTAAAAATTAAGTAATACGACAAATAATTTGAATATTCAATTAATTTGCTTATATTATTTAATTATGTTTCTTATTATTAAAATAATTACGAAATTCAAATCTGTGAATAATTTCAAATTGAATTTGAGCATGATGATTGGTTGAAAAAGTTCGATTCGATTTATAATCGATTTCTAAGCGCGTAAACGATTGCGACTATGTTCAGTTTATTAAGTAGCCGTTGCAACCGTTACAACAATTAGAGCAAAGAAGTGTGTATTGAGCAGTTTTTTTTTTTTTGTACACAAAACGAAAAATGTGCAACAATACTTACCACCATCGTAACGACCGTAAAAGTGTGTTTTAACATCGTTTATGGGACTCAGGCCTCCATTATGGTGATGAGTCGAATGAACCGGGGACGGAGTCACAGGAGTTGCATAGCCGTGATGATGAGACCCCATGGGACTCATTACTATTGGACTACAAGAATTCATTCCAACTGGTGACATTCCCATTGCGGAAATTGGAGAAATTGCCAAATTGGTACCAATCGAGTCTAAATTTTGCAAAGATTGATGTCCGGTGCTACTACTGACCGAACCGTTCATATTTCCATTGTTCGCACTCTGGCAATTCAACATCATGTCACTGCAACAAATATTCACAATTTCGGTGAGTTTTTTTTTCACTTTTATTTGCATAAATATAATTATTTCTTGATTGCTAAATAATTTTAACTTTCGGAAAATATGAGACCGCAAAACATAACCTATAAATGCTTTTCGCAATTTTCGTTTTTCAACGGTATAATATTAATATCTAAAATATACAAAAATGATAAATAAAATATATAATAATAAAATATTAAAATTAACATTAAATTAAATAAAAATTAGATTAATATGCAAATACGACAAAACAGAGATTTTTTTTTCCATTTTTTGTGGGGAAAAATTATAGACAGGTCAGTTATTCATTGTCTTAGGTCGTTTAAAAAAGGAAGCGGATTGTTTGAAGGTTTTTGACATGCGGCTTTCGATTTACAGCCTCATATGGTCCAGCAGCTTTGTTCGGAGAATTTTTAAAGAAATGTGCGTGTTGAACAGAGTGGCATGAACTTTGGGAAGGAAGGAAATAAGGGACTACGTCTGTGTGGAAGAATGGTCAACTTTATGCATTGTTCTTTTGGCTTGTGAATATATAACTATATATTCTTCCCCTCCTCATCATCAAAAAAGGTATGTGTTATGCGAAATACATGCAACATGCATGCTTACTGGTTTGTAAAATGAACTCCGCCCTCCGTTGTGACCGCCACGCTTTTATTTTTTTTTTCATTTCAAGGCCCAAATTTAAAGGAAGTTTTAAACTTCAAACTCAATTTATTCTTTTCCTCCATTTGCAAATTTTACTTTTACAAAAATTTATTTAATTTTTAATTTTTAAATTAAATTATTTAATTTTTTTTTTTATTTTTGCAAAAGAATTTTTTTCAAATCATTTTTTTTGTTCGATAACTTTTTAATATTATGAAATTTCTTGGTAGAGCTTTTAAATTTTGTAAATTATAGATAATCTCTAGAAAAAAAAAATTGTGAAACACACTTTTTTTCACGCGGCTTATAACAAAAAGGTCAATGATTTTTCCTTTAAGACGGTAAAGAATTCAAGTCTTTTGTATACCGTTCAGAAAAGTAGTTCAAGACACATCGGATTAAGATTTTCTGGATGAAGTAGCTTATTTCAAATTTGATTAAAATTTAAATTTTCTTTTCTATTTATATTGAAATTCATGGGAAAAAACAGAGCGTTAATCTAAAATTTTGATTTAAAAAATAGAAATTCAAATTGTTTTTTTTTTAAACACATTAAAATGAAGAAACAGGTTTTTTCTTTTTTTTTTTTTATCGAAAATCTCGAAATTATCTCATAAAATTTCGAAAATTGAAAAGCTTTATAATATAGAAATTTTTTTTTTTTACCCTTCTTATAAAGAAGTATTTATATAAGATAAATCGAACTCCATCACCCTCGCGGTCTTTATATATAATGTAGTAAACTATTGGTAGTGTGAACAGCTCAATAGTGAAATGAGAGATGTAACCGAATCTGTGTCATAAAACGGTAATGGGGCGTCGCGTTTCCTTTTTCTAGGGCCTTATTGGTAGGGGGGGAGGGGAGAGGGAGCAAGTAAAAAAAGGACCCTTGACGCGTAAGGCGTTAGGGTGTTTTGCAAAAAGGGCCCAATCTTTCCTTCAATTTATAATAGACGTCTCAAGACAAATCTGATTTTCAGCTTCGAAAAAATATATTTATTTAAAATCACTTTTTACTGATAATAAAGAATAGTAATTTATAACAATATAATAATAATAATAATAATAATTAATATTTAGTTAATAATCATTTAATGAGAATTTTTAATAATTAAATTTTTAAAAATTTAAAAATTTAATTTTTCTTATCCTAGCTAAATTATATATAACTATAGCAAAATTAAACGCGCGCCAAATTGAGTATTTAATTATTTGTTATAAAGAAATTAAAGATTAATATTATTAATAATAATTTAATTTATTAGAATATTATTACATATTAAATGATAATAATGAAAATTATATACAGGCCTCGGATTATACTTTTTCCGACTTTTTTCAAAAATACGACTTTTATCGACTTATTTTAATAAAATGCTACATTTTTTTTTAACATTTGAAAAAAAATGTAAATAAAATACATTTTTTTAGTATAAAATGTAGATCTTCTTCAGATCTTCTTCAATTCAATTATTTAACAAATTTTGAACTAAAATGATTTTTCACTAAATTAATTATTTTTAATAATTTTAATGAAATACATCACAAATTCAATTATATCAGAATTATTTTTCAATTAAAATTTTTATGAAATTTAACAATTGTTTATAATTTTAAAAAAAATATCACAATAAAATTGAATTATTTTTTAAAAATTTCAATTCAAAATAAACTAAAATTCAATTATTACAAGAAATTTTAATTCAAAATCAATTAAAAATCCAATAATTATCCAAAATTTTCAAATTAAAATTTAATTATTTACCTACCAAGTTTTCAATTTAAAATGAAATAAAATTCAATTATTTTCTAAAATTTCTATTCAAAATTAATTATCCAAATTTTCAATCAAAAATGAACTTAAATTAAATTATTTTCCAAAATTTCAATTAAAATTCAATTATTTCCCAAAATTTTCAATTCAAAATGAACTGAAATTCAATTATTTTCCAAATTTAAAATCAAATAAAATTTCGTTATTCTCAAAAATTTGAATTCAAAATTAATTGAATTTTCCATAATTTGAATTTAAAAGCATCTAAAATTTAATTATTTCTAAAATTTTCCATCGAAAATTTTTTTTTTTGACATTTAATAATTTCAATTATAACTCTAAGGAAATTCAATTATTTTTAACTATTTTAATAATATTCTTTGAAAATTCAACTATCTGAAACCATTTTTCAATTAAAAATGATTTTCAAATTATTGTGTGTATTTTGTCAGCATTTTCTAATAAATTTTTAGTGAAATCATCTAAAATTTTAATTACAAAACACTTGAAGTTTCAATTAATTTCAAAAATCTCAATTTTAAATCTTTAAAAATTCAATTAAATTTAAAAAATGTTTTCCAAAAATTGTTTGATAAATTATTTTTATTTCTGTAAAATTTAATAATTGTTTGAAAATTAACAATATCTTTTGAAATTTAATTATTTCTAAAAATTTCAGCTTTAACCCTTCGAAAAGGATTATTATTAAAAAAAATTTTTTATTTAAAAATCTATAAAATATTTTTGTTAAAATAAAAAACAAATCCACTTTTTTTTGGAATATAAATCGATTAAAACGACTTTTTGTGTCTTTAAGTTGATTCGAGGCCTGTGTTTTTATAATTAATATTTAATAGGTATTCGTTGGCCCCTGGTACCTTAAAAATTAATTTTTAAAAATAAATTTTTTTCAAATTACTATCTTGTACTATTAAAAAAAAACACGTGAAATCAGAAAAGGCCAACTTCAAGTTAGGACAGAAGGACAGACCAAGCATTTTATTATTATATATAATTATTAGAATTTTTAATAAATTTGTATTAAATAACAAAAAGCGTTGGGAAATTAATAAATTTTTATTAAATAATTAAAAGTGTTGGGAAATAAATAAATTTTTATTAAACAATTAAAAGCTATGGGAAATAAATAAATGTCAAATTGAATTATGGGGGGAAAAAAATGTTATTTTGCAAAATTATTATGACACAATGATGAAGAGACGTTTTTAATTTTTGAGCTTCCTAAAGGTTCGTGACTTATATAGTCAAGAGACTTGTAGCCATAACATCGCTCGGAAGCTGTATTCGTTTTTATTTTTTTTTTCATTTACACACGCACGATGATGCATATACATATATATACAACGACAAATCTTTAAACCCAAAGGTTAATATTGAACGAAACAAAAATTAATAATAGCAAAACGTAGCTTCTCCTGGAAATTTGATTAGAATTTATAATTAATGTTTTATTTTCACTAGCCTATCAGTAATCCTGCCTTTTTGGCTCGTCAACTATTTTTCTTTTCTTTAACCTAAATAATTTACTATACACGCTGAGAAAAACAATATTTTGCTACAGTAATAAAACATTCAAATTAAAAAAAAAAAAACATTCACTTTTAAATATTGGCAAAAAATATATAAATTTTATTTTTTTTTATTTTTAAATAATTATTTTTTTTTTTAATTTCAGTTGTAAAATAAAAATTTTTATTTTGACATCGGTACGGAATTGCTATTGGTTGTATATTTAAATTTCCATTTATTGTTTAAATAAAATATCGAAAGATTTCAACGCGTGTTTTGATGTAATTAATCTAAAATAATAATTCTCCGGCTGATTAAGATTTTGAGAAGCTGCAATCTTATCGCGATTCGCTGAGGGTGTTATGTCCATTAACAGCTGAACATGCGTTTGCTATTATCTAATGTTGTCTCAACACACTTTTTTTTCGATATTAAAATGGGGTTAATAATATACTCGGATGATGATTTGTAAACAAAAGATTCTAACTTTACCAAAGGTATCTTCATAATATACAAACGTCAGCATCGCTCTTCTTATTGTTAGATAATATTATACAAGTGACATAATTTGATACCCAACTCAAGATTACTGTATCAAAAACACGTCGACATCGGTCAAGTTTAACTATATAGGAAAAAAAAAATTCCCCTCTCGAATAAAAATTAAAAAATTTATTTTCATTGTATTTTTTTTCAAAATTATTTTTGTTAAAAAGGGCGACAAGAAATTCAATTTCAAAATAAGATAAAGTCAACATCTGGTTAAAGCTAAATTTGTGGATTTTTCACAACTTAAGAAGACATAATGAGTGTCTATTTCCTGGCAGAATGATTTTCATGACAATAAGTTTAATGGTCCAATAGGTTTCGGTCGTGATTTAGTGCTGATTTTTTTTTTTTTTTTTTTTTCCCCGACCGAGAATTGTGGAAAAAAGGAAACAAGACACTTCACATGTTAAAAGTAACACTTGTTGTTCTTCGTATAGGCAAAGAACCCCCCGTCGCTACACGTGCCTTCCATTCGCCACATCTTTTCACATTTGAAGGGAATAATTTTCTTTCTATTTTCCGCAAATTCAAAATTTATGAGAGAAATGCCTTTTTTAAAAAAAAAATTTAAAAATCCCTTTTATTTTTATTAAATCCAAATAACAATCCTTTTTTTTCTTTTTAGTTTTCGAATTTTTTCGAAAAATGTAAAAGATAGTTTTTTTTTACTTCCCGAACTTAAAAAAAAATTCTGTTTTATAAAAAAAACACAATTTTTTTAATGTTTCGTATGTTAAATAAAAATTATGAAAATAAAAATACTCACGATCTTGTTTGAGGTGTGCGATCGCGTTGTCGTCGATTTTTAAACCAATTTGACACTTGCGTTAATGTGAGTCCAGTTTTCTTTGACAATGTCTTCTTTTCATCGGGCGTCGGATATCTATTTTTTTGATAACATTCTTTAAGGGCATTTCTCGAACGTTCCTTGAAACAATAAACAGTTTCCTCACCATCCCAAATGGTACGTGGTAAGGGATGCTTTTTCCTCAATCTATATTTGTCAACTGCTCCTAATTTTCTTGCTCGAACTTTTTCCGCTTCCAGGTAATGGGCTTTGTACCACATTTGCTGTAACTCTAAGTGGTATTCGGGGGAAAATTTATTCCTCTCAAGAATATTGTAAACATCAGTGAATGAATGATTGTGAAATGCCACATATGCCTTTGCCATTAATACACTCTCACCACGAGCTAATTGATATGGTTGCAGTGTGTATAAAAATCTGGACAGACAAAATTTGCACTTTTTTTTTTATTTTTTCAATTAAAAAATAATTTAATTTTTCTTTTATTAATTTTTTGGAAATTTATCATTTTTTATGTAAGGAAAAATATTTTTTTCACTTGCGGAGTGATTAATATTTTTATTTAGAAAATATTTTTATTTGTAATTCTATTACGATTTTGAAAAATTCCTTCTAGGGGAAATTTTTCTTCAAAATATATGCAAATGTAATTAAAATATTTATTGAATAAATTATTCAGTGTGTCGACACATTTTTCATTCTAAAAAAAAAAACTGGAAGATTTTCTCACACTCAGTTTATAATATTAGTCACGAATGCAATTGTCGTTTAATAATTTCGCAATGATCATCGAAAAATTTTGTATCAAATCTTTTGCAGTTATTTACTTTATATTATATTTTCGTTAAAAATAAAATGAATCGAAGTCGAATTAATATGGTTTTTTGTTTTTATATTTTTGTAATTAATTTATAAAAATCTGATGTAAAATTGAAAATTCATTTGATTTTTTCTAATTCTAATTAAATTATTTCAGACTCACCTTTCGAGATTTGCCATGTCCTTTTTTTGGACCATACTTTTGCAGAGGCAAATAATTTGTTCCTCAGAGAAACTTGAACCGTTGCTATTTCCACCGAGGGCAATTGAACCAGAATTGGATAAATTTGTTGTTAAACTAACAGCGTTACAAAGTTCCTGTGGATATCTTGGACTACCATTCGATGAGGGAGTTAAATTTTGTGAATGATGTGTAATTGTCAATCCTGTCATCGCAGAATTACCATAAGGACCAATTGAACTCAAACTTCGATGTACCATTCCCATTTGACTATTGCAGTCGCTATTTGGCGATGATAATTGTTCTGAACAGTCAGACATAATTCAACACAATACTTCAACGCCAAGGATCCACCAGGTATGATCACTTTGCATTACTTTCTTTTTTTTTTAAATCTTATTATTCAATTTTCTGTATTGATTTTAAATTTTCTCATGTTTTGATTCGAAAAAAAATACAACCGCACAGGTTACTTACATGTCTATAAGTTCCATTCAGACACTTTTAATAACATTTCATTCATTTTTTCTTCACTACAGGAAAACAATTCGCGATAGTCAATTTAGTTCTTCTTTTAATTAATAACTATTTTCGTAATTTATTTAATATTTAATTTAAAAAAAAAGAAAATCACTGCAGTTTTTCCCAAAAAAAAAATCTTTCACACACTTTTATTATTAATTGAAATTCACTGGATCCATTAGGTAGAAGAGAAACTAAATCACAGTATCACTTTTTTTTTTTTAATTTTGTAATTATGAAACACATCATTTAGGGGTAATTCTTTTGTAATAATAATGAATTGAAATTGTTTTTATTGAATTTTGAAATTGAGATTATTAAATTCACGAGTGACTAATTCAGTCAACCTCTCGTAATGAAATGTAGAAGCGTTGTGGTTCTATGTTTTTTTTCGGTTCACGTTGCTTCCACCACGTCCGGATCTGGTCTCGGATTTGCTGATTGGTTGTGAGGCGGGAAATGTGGACGCAGGATTGGTTAAATATGAGGGAGGTACAACCCCCTGCCGCGAAATAGAGTTTACCCCAGGAGGCAGTAGATCTTCCTTGCTGTCTGATCTTCACCTGACAAAAATTCACGAATCCCCCAAATTAATCGAAAAAAATTAGTTTTTTTTTATACGTTCAGGTCACATTACACAGTGAATTGATTTTCAATTTATTAGTGCAATCAAATTATTTACTCGAGTTTTCAATAATTATCAATCAGTTTTCTTTTATTATTGGTTTTTTATAGTATTTTGTTTTTGTTTTCGAAAGTTATTTTAGCTCGATTTCAAGGGTTAATTAGAAACATTTTTTAAAAGGATGCAATTTTGCTTTGATATTTTAGAAATATTTTTGTGGGATATTTCATAAATACATTGATAGAATTTAATAATTTAATTTAATTTCGTATTTTAAAATAGAAGATAAATTCAGGGTGTCTAACGGTCAGGGAAAGTCAGGGAAGTCAGGGAATTTTGTTGGTCAGGGAAATGTCAGGGAAAAGTCAGGGAATTTCAGAAAATTTCATTCAAAGTCAGGGAAATTTCTGTAAATTTTTTGTGAATTTAAAAATTTTTTAATCTAAAAAAACTTGAATGGTTTTTATTACCATTTGTTACTACTATTAGAAATTAATTTATTGTTAAATATGTCAGTAACGATATTTTTGTCCAAAGAAAGCAGAAATAAGGTTATTAAAAAGTCAGGGAAAAATCAAAAAATGTCAGGGAGAAGTCATGGAAAAGTCAGGCAATTTTTTTCTCAATCCTTGTTAGACACCCTGAAATTTTCTTGTGTAATATTATTAGAATCTAGATTAGAATTTTATTAGGAATATTTCAAAAAGAATATTGTGTTCGTATTTTAAAATAGTGAAGGAATTTTCTAATGTAATATTATTAGAATTTCGATTAGAATTTTATTAGCAATATTTAAAAAAAAAAAATTTTAAAAGCTATTTCGATAGTTTAGAAATATTTTCAAGATTATTTTTTCTATTGTTGTAATTTTTTTTTTGTAGAATATTTCAAGAATATTCCAATGGAATTTTAAAAAATAATTTGCAATATTTTGGAAATATTCTTGTGGAATATTTGTAGGAATCTTATATAATATTTATTAAAATATTTTTCAATATTTTCTCGTGTAATATTATTAGAATTTCATTAGGAATATTTAAAAAAGAATTTTAAAGGATATTTCGATTATTTTTTCTATTGTTGGAATTTTTTGTCGAATATTTCAAGAGTATTCCAATGGAATTTAAAAAAATAATTTAATATTTTGGAAATATTCTTGTGGAATATTTGTAGGAATCTTATAAATAATATTTTTTTTTAAATATTTTCTCGTGTAATGTTATTTAAATTTCATTAGGAATATTTCAAAAAGAATTTTAAATGATATTTCGACAGTTTATAAATATTTTCGAGCTTATTTTTTTTATTGGAATTTTTGTGCAATGTTTCAAGAATATTCCAATGGAATTTTAAAAAATAATTCAATATTTTGGAAATAATCTCGTGGAATATTTGTAGGAATCTGATTTAATATTTTTTTAAAAATATTTTCTTGAGTAATATTATTAGAATTTCATTAGGAATTTATTAAAAAGAATTTTAAATGATATTTCGATAGTTTAGAAATATTTTCGTGATTTTTTTTTTGTATTGGAATTTTTTGTGCAATATTTCAAGAATATTCCAATGAAATTGTAAAAAGTATTTGAATATTTTGGAAATATTGTGGAATATTATTAATGATAGATTTTAATTCTAAAATATAATTCGATTTTTTGGAATTATTCTTACGGAATATTGTGTTCGTATTTTAAAAATAGTGAAGGAATTTTCTTGTGTAATATTATAATAGAATTCTATTAGGAATATTTCAAAAAAAAAATTCAAAGGATATTTCGATAGTTTAGAAATTAGATTATTTAGAACAAGATTATTTTTTTCTATTGTTGGAATTTTTTGCAGAATGTTTCAAGAATATTCCCATGGAATTTTCAAATGATAATTCAATATTATAGAAATATTCTTGTGGAATATTTGTATAGGAATCTTTGTATAATAATATTCTTGGAGTTGCAGGAATATTTCATTGAAAATTTTAAGAATTTGATATTTTATAAATATTCTTATGATATTTAATTGACAGTTTCTTTTTCAAAACAAAACATCTACCAGATGTTTTTTTTCTTGATTTTGCCTTTGAATTTCCTTAACTAATTCCTGAACACATTTTTTTGATGACCACTAATGATGTCTTATAATCGAAGCATGTGACACTCGTCTGAATAATTTTGTCATCATGTGTGGCCTCAGTGCATCGACGTTGTTGCCACCAGTAGTTTGTGCATTGGTTCCACACAGCGACCAATAAACACCGGAAATAGAACGCGTCAACGTTATCGTACACCATATTATGATTCTTCAACGCGTTGTTATCAAATCTTCAATAGTTTCACTAATTCCACAACATATTTCTTTTTTTTTTGCATTTTAATTAAAATTTTAAATATTTTCGAAATTTCATTGTTAGATATTTATAATTTATGTAATCGAATGCCGTTTTTTTTTTTATTATTTAATGGATCATTAAAACAAATTTTGATTGATAAAAATCAGTAAAATCAAGAAATTTTAATGATACAAATATTAGTAAATATTTTGTGAAAATTTATTAAATTAGAACTATTTTTCTTTTTTTTTTTTTTGAATCATAAATAACATTTTCCTGAAATAGCAGGGGATAATGTAGATCAATGAAAAGCGACTCAGGCTCTTGAGTGAAGATGTCTTTCTGCAGCATCCCTCAGTCTCGGCCCCGCCTTTTGACAATCCTTTGAATTTACACTGTGACTAATTATTATCAGATGTTTTTCCAATCGAACAAAAATATACAAATTCAAAAGAATTACCGGATTTTTTTTTTGCATAAAGAATTTTAGAATCTGAGATGAGATAGAAAAAAAGTCAATAATTTTCGAAAATTTGTACTGTCGAGGGATTTTTTTTTTATATTTGACGATGATAATTTATTTTTGGGATACCTAGGTAAAATTGAGGGGAAGGCGATAGAAGAGCAAATGATAGAGGGGCGTCGCCGCGTTTCGCGATGGCGTCTCCTTCGATTTGGTGTCTGGTTTCCTCTGAGCCGCCATTTTCCCTCATCCTCAACCTCATCCTCCCACACTAAGCACGGTGTCTAGGGATTGTACTTCCTTATCAAAACGATCCTGGGATTCTTACCTTCTTGAGAAGGGTTACAACGATTCCCAGGACTCTGCGCTTTCTACTTCTTCAATTTACTCACTTATTTTTTTTTTCAAATTTTACTATTACATCTCATTTTACAATTTTCTACAACTAATTAGAATAGAATTATTAAATTATGATTTATTTTTCTAAAAATTTGAAAAAAAAATTTCAAAAATATTTCATAAAATTTTTACAAATATAAATTTTAATAACACTTTAAATATATATATATATATAAATAAAATTTTTGAGCATTTGTGAATTTGTCTCTTTATCGATGTAAACGCGGTACGAGTTAAAAGGCGCAGAGAGGAGTAAAAGGGGATTGTATCGAGTTTCACTATACTGCGTTTAATTGCATTCCAAAATGGCTCTGTACAAACACCCTTCAGATATCTTCAACATAAATCCAAATAAATTAAAACGAATTTCATAGATTCCAATATAATTCCTAGGCGATTCGATTACCTTACCTGATGCAAATTTGCATCGCCAGAATGATCCTTGGAAAAATTCTCTTGTAAAGACATAATGAATTAATTGACAAAAATAGAATTTTAAATATTTATATAGTTGTATAGAAATATATAAGTTTTCTTTTTTGTATATAGATAATATCGACGATCAATCGGAAGGATGTCAATCTCGGATTTCTGTCTGTAAGTGTCATTGCACTAAAAATAAAATTAATGTCCCCTTGACAATAAGAATGATATATATACGGATTGAAAATACAAGAGTGTTGGTGGCCGTTACAAGACACCATTTGTCGTTCGAGAATCAAGATAGTGGTTATCTTCAATGCACGCGTGCGAAAAATTGTGGGAATATCAAGGTATGTATTTACAAATTGAAATCTTTAATTATTAAATTATTATAAATTATCAATTATATTTTTCAATTTTATATCCATTTTTTTAATTTTATTCAAAAATCCGATAAGATTTTTCTTTATTAAAATTTAAATCCCAAAGGAGTTTTATATGAAAAGAAAGGGGAGTTGAATTCAATTTTTAGGCTGATTTTTAACGAAGATGTTGGCAGGTTTTTTTTTTTTTTTTTTGAAAATAAAAACGAGAGAACACACAAGTTGTAAATAGAGATCAGTCTTCTCGATCTTCTCTTTTTTTAAAAAAAGGACTTGTGTGGTGCGATGTTGAACTTGGGCATAAAGTGGCCACTGACACATAAAGAGCATATTTTCGAGCATTAGTAGAGAGCCCTTATGGCTACCTGTTTTCACGCCTGTTCGGTTTCTTAAGAAAAAAAAAAAATCTCTTCAAACCCTGATCGCGAGGATCGTGCCACTAATGGGCAAGTAACCACATAGGATTATAAAGATTATTTTTCCAAGCAATGCGATTGGACTTGATCTTATTGTTCGTAACGAAAAAAAATAGAAAGAGAGCGCTCGGAATTCTAATTTTCTGTTCCTTGTCAAGATAAAAAAAAAAAAAAAAAAAAAAAAAATATTACGAAATTTCGTGTCTAGATTTCGAAAAAAATGTTAATTTTCCTTTTTTTTTAAATTTTACGTTTCGTTTTTTTGCAAATATATATTTTTTGAATTAGTAAAATTTACAAATTTCTTATGGTATAAATTA